TAAGATTCTAATTTTATATTACGAAGAGAGTCCGTTTGGGGCCGCTTAGTTGGTGCGGTAGAGTTTTGAGGATGCACCCAACCTGTTTCAGTAAATCGCGTTTTGACAGCTTATGCGTTTTTTTTTAAACTTTAATTTTATTGTGTATATATTTCTACTTAAAATAAACTATTCAAAAATAAAGTATTCAAAACTTTTAGATATTTTAAATATTTTTAAATTCAAATTCATTTATTTTTGAAAAATAAAGAGAAAAAATTGGTAAAAATACAATAAATAAAAATAAAAGTAAAATTAATCCTAAACTAACTCTTAAGATTCTAATTTTATATAACGAAGAGAGTCCGTTTGGGGCCACTTAGTTGGTGCGGTAGAGTTTTGAGAATACACTTAACCTGTTTGAGTAAATTGTTTTTTGACAGCTTATGCGTTTTTAAAACGTTGAAAACAGTGATTTCACACCGGTCTGACATTTCCAAAAAAATAAAAATTTGTATTAGCTACCACACATAGTTTATCAGCAGATTATTCAATAAGCTGCCCCAAACATACCCTAATTCTCCAATTTATTTGTCAAATCAAGCAAACAAATGAGTGCTTGATGACAGGAATGAATCACGCCTACTCAATGTAATGATTAGGCTAATCTGTACACATATTTCATAATATTTCTGACAAATCACTTAATTAAGACAAATCATAATTAATTAATCACGTAACATTAAAATAATATCATTTCATGCTTATGCAATCAATTTGTTACTTATACGCATGCACCAGGAAATGATTATAAGCTGGGTGTTTTTTTATCAAACACGCATGCTTTGGCCTACCATTTGTACTAGCCAATTAAGGCCTTTCTGAAAAAAAAAAAAAAAAAGGATAAACAGGAAAAATATATGTATGGGGAAAGGCATTATTATGATAATTAACTTGTCCCATTTTAATTATACAAAGTAGTTTTTTGTTTTCCATCCATTAATTTGCAGCATTTTCAAAGATATATTAAGAAATACTATCTTAATTTATTGGTGTTCCACTTTTCTTTTATTTTAATAATTAATAATGATGTTTATATGAATACAATTAGCTTGTTTAAGACCGCTAATAATCTTAATGGAAATTCAACAAAATACCCGGATCTCATGTATGTCAAATCATCGAAGAAATCTAATTAGAAGCGACTTGAATCCATAAAGTAGCAAAAAATGGGTTACTGACCTTCCACGTCTAATGTGGCCTGTGTGAAAAAATTATTGCATCAGGGGTTATGATGCAGTTTTGCATCAGAACTTCAATTAAGGTCTGTCACGTGTACATACATGTCCACCTACGTCTTAAATTATTTTTTTTACAAATGTGGGTTTGTCTGTACACATGATAGACCCTGATCGGAGTATAATGCAAAACTGCATCAAGACTCCTAATGCAATAATTTTTCTTGTGTGTGTGTGAGCGAGGGAGGGAGGGAGAGAGAGAGAGAGACTCGGGACCATGAACATATTTATAGCTTAGCGTATATATTTTATTTTAGCTCATCATTAAAAATAAAATAAATATATGGTCTCTACATAAGATTAATTCCAAACAAATATTACAATATTAAGATGCCACATAAGTTAGGGGATCACTTTTGTTTTTTATTTTTTGCTTTTATTTTTAGTTTTTTTTGTTTTTGTTTTAAAATAAAGCAAAAATAAACTTGAAAACACATAATTTTTCTATTTTTATACATAAAAATAAAAATAAGAAAATATAATCTATGTGAGAAAATGTGTATTGCATTCTTTACAAACTTAAAATAATAAAGTCTTTTATGTGATATTAAATCTTTGGGTGATATGAATATAAATATTAAATTTAAGGTGTTAGTTATATAAATACATAAGAAATAGGCGGTATGTATGTAGATGTCCCTTTTATTTTTATGTTTCATTTTTTTCTAAGATATCCTAAAAACATTTTTGTTTAAGAAAGTAAAAAAAAAACAGATAGAAAAACAACAAACAAATGAGGTCTTTGCTTTGTTTTCTATTTTTTAAAAATAAAAACAAAAGTGATCTCAAACAATCCCTAAATATTAACTCTTTATTTTATCACAAATTTAATGGGCATAAAAATATTAAGATAACACCATGCTTAATATATACTAAAAATGAAACTTACTAACATGATAATCAAGAAACTGAAATTGCAAATTATATAATTACAATTGAAGCTCAATGCTGCTAATTTTTCCTGCAACAATCTGCAAAACACTATCTAACAAATGCTTTAAAATAAACAATAAAATATGCACAAAACATCTTTAATATAAATTAAAATAAGATGCAAATAGGCATAATGTTTTAGGATAATTTAACAATGCCCATAAATTAAAATACGATGCAAATAGACATAATGTTTTCGGCAAATTTTCTTCATGAAACTTAAGATTATTCAACTTTTGCCTCCAACGTATTTATAGTTGAATTGAGCTTCTTAATAAGATGAACTCGCAAAAATTAAAAGTGGTTTGATCTGAGTCTATATAGGCAATAACTTTTGAGTCTTATATGCTTATAGTCAAATCGAAAGAATAGTTTATGATTCGAGAAATTAATATGTTTAGTCATGTGATCAGTGTTTTAGATTTCGATTAGATTTGCTAAAATGACACTTTTAAAAAAAACTGAAAATAAAATTCTATTTTTTACATGAAATGAAGTTGTAATTGAATTTAGATAGAGCTCAGATAGTCCTAGATTCTTGGAATTCTACCAGAAGTTCGACCCTAATAACCACTACTTTCTGTGGTTGTAGTTTAACCACAATGTTTGACTATCACTATTTGACAGTAGCCACGTAATGTCACAGTACATTCGCATGTGTACGATTTTTGTCACTCGACAATTATTGTAAAACTAAGGTCATTTGACTAGAATTGTGCTATCATCAACCACCAACCACTATTATCTAATTGTCATTTTCTGACTGTTGTAACCCGACTAATATTGTTTAAGGATCATTGTTATCTCTCCACTACTTCTAGCTTTATTATAATTATATGAGATCTTGTTTGAGTGCATTGATTTGTTATCACGTCTTCTCCCTTTGAGAGAAAAAGTAATGCTCTTCAGATTTACTTGCATCATATATTAATTTGAATCAAGCATCATAATTATTTTATTTTTCAAAATCTTGATGTAAAAATGTCTCCATTGCCATAAAACTTCTTACATGCAGTGATGCGAAATATTCACAGTAATTAAAAAAGCATGATAGCTAATAAACATAACTAATTGATAAAATAAAAAAAAATGCCTGCCAAATTATTGATGCAAGGCCATAAATTAGACAACAAATAGAAATATTTCATTTCACAAGAGACCTAGAGGTCTTCTTTGTAGAAAAAAAAGTAAGGAATAATGATTAAAGAAATGATCTAGAAATTAATGAGAATAAAACATACAGGAAGAAAATATGTGTCTTTTGTCCTCAAATATGTAGCAAATTTGTTGGAAACAAGATGAATGATATATCCCATGGTGCTAGGTTTGAATATTCACCATGCCTTGAGAGGGAAATGAGGCCACTGGTGTGCAAAATTTGTGGAGAAGTTAGTAGAGAGTATTCTCTCTAATTAGGAAACCCAGATTCAAAGCAAACTCTAATCACTAATTTCTAATATAGTTGCGTTTATTGAATCTGAAGGACACATTAAAAGATCAACTTATAATTTAGTTAACAATAAGGCTAAACCTCAAATTTGACATTACACTTGTATTAATTTGGTGTCATACAACTATGTATAAAAATGTGTATTTATTTTTAAAAAGATAATGATGGTAATATTTTTGATATGATATTAAGTGCATGAGTGATATATATGTAAATATGAGTGTTTAGTTGTTAGAAGGATAAATATATAAGAATTGTGTGGTCCCAATAAAATAAATAAGTAGACAAAAAAATGTAGTTGCCAACACCATCATTAAAATAAGATGGTACCATAATATAATATAAAGATAAAAGTTCATAATGCATAAGTAACCAAATATTTAATTTATTAGGATTGATAGCCTGAAAATAAAAATAGTTTTTGAGAAAAATTTCAACCATCAAATATAAGCTGTTTATGATCAGATTGAGCTAATCAATAGAATAATTATGTCATGCCATTGTCATGATAATTAATTATATACAATTGGAATCCATTTGAAAAATCAAGGTTTGACATGGTAATTAAGCCTGGAATTAACTAACCTAAAAAAATTAATTAAAAAACAATGGAAATAATTAAGGATAATCCTGTTCATAAGAACTGGTTCCTGAATTGCAAGAAGCAGCCAAATCCCCAAAGGAAACTTAGACAAGCCTTTTAGGGAAAATTAGTTCATTCACGGAAATATAGAGATAGAGAGAGAAGGAGTTATAATTAGCCTTTCTCATTAATTTGAGATATGGTGAGATACTTACGTACATAATTATCATTTTTAAATATGAGAGCCCATTTGTAACGTAACGTTAAAGTTATGACTATCAAATCATAATGGATGGAGATAAATCTAATTATAACTTGCAAATTTGAACTTTTAAATTATTTATAAGATTAGTGTTCGTTCTATCAATTGTGCCAGTACTACACAAGAAAAAAATTTGAAAACAGGACAATAGCCTGAATTAAATTTATCTATACTATTTTCTTAACTAGGAGATTCTTCAAACAAATATTAAACATAAATTTATGACTGTATGAAGGTGAAGATCTGATTGAGCATTCAAGTGCACATACATATTAATTATGCATTTAGCACATGCACCCATGTGCATGCGTGTAAACTGGATATATGTACAAATCTCGAAGACAAATTAATGACATAAAAGAAACTCTTCATGCCCGGAGATATAAAATAGATAAGACTAAAGCTTATGTTGATATCAACTAATGTTCATAACTCTTGCTTTTATGACTTCATTCCATAAATTAAAACATCATATACATATAAGATGGAACTCACAGAGATAAGAAGAACGAAGCATGTCGTAGTCCTCGATATGGCAGGAAAGATATCAGAAGTACTGACCATGCAGATACATGAGCTTATCTTTCTTCATTTCTTCCACCCTAAAATTATTTAGCAATCATCTTCACATATATATATATGTATCTTATTCTAAAATAATGCAAGGAAAAAAGAGAGAAAATTAGCAATTAAATCATGAATTTTATCTTTGGAATGGAGTAAAAGTACTGAATCGAAGAGAGATGAAGGTTCCTGTGCCGATGAAGCAAATCTGACCTGCAACACTTTTGTGAGGTGGATGTTGGACAAATCAGAGCAACGCAGACTGCAAAAACTCAAATCAGCAATCTATCTCAGATTCATAATGAATCTTTAAATTATTTTCATTTCAGGAAATAAACGGAAAATAGAAGAGAGATTGGAAATTAAAGGCTTGTAATTTAGGTTTCCCATGTGCTCCTATCAGCAGATGAAACTGCAACATGATCTGAGCTTTTGATGATTTAGAGAAAGAATGGAGAATTCAGATCATGCTGGCAGCTTCAGCTGCTTGTGGAGCACAGAAAAAAAAGAAGCAAAGGTGAGGCAAAGGAGAGAGAGATAAGATACAGCGAGCTTTGGAGTTCTAAACTTTTAATATATGCGAATATGGGTATATATATAAATATAAAATATATTTACAAGAAAAAATATGTAGGAAGCTGCTGGAAGCAGAAGAAATTAAATGGGGGGAGGGTGAATTTCCTGTTTTACTTGGGTGCAATGCGAAGACTTGTTGACTTTGTTGATTATTAATTGATTGATGGAATTGCGGTCCCAAGGCATAACATAATATTTAAGATTATACTCTAATTATTAGCCACAAGAATCAAAGCACAAGGGCATCTAGGGTTTTCCTGCTTTTATTCTTCATATATATATATGTATATAAAAACATTAAATATTGTGTAATTTTAATCTTTTTATTTTGACAAAATTGACATAAATATCATGCCTTTAATTTTTTATTTAGAATATTATTTAAAAATTCAAAAATATTATCTGAAATTAAAATATTATTTTTTGAATTAATATTATACTTGTTAAATTATATTAAAATAATTTAAATATTTATTACGTCACATAGTTAAACCTCCTATTCAATGAGCATTTCTTGTTTCTAGCTTGATCTTCTGATGAATATACCAAGAGCAAAAAACAAGCAAATTAATTTGTGGAGGGTTGTTCTAATAAGGCGAAAGAAATCAGCAAATTTTAAAAAGATGAGTCTAAATTAAAAGCAATGCTTGAATTAGAAAAGGTTTTCTAATGCAGACACTGCCAAAAAACAAAACAAAATGTCGTTGTGAAAGCATTAAAGACGCCCATAATGCAAATTAAGATAAGGACATCTAATAATAGTTCATATTGCGTATTTGATCACATTGTCTATCTGCAAAATGCAATTATTTTTCTAATCACTACAAAATGTAGTGAACCAATATTATACAAGACATTACACATCTGAAATGCATCTTATATATACAAGTTAAACAAGCTGATCATGCTTCTAATTTAAAAAAAAGTAATTAAATAAATAAAATAAAATAGTATTGGTTATATATGCCATATGTTAAGTTAAATGATAGGGACAACCCAATTCTTATGTATAAACATATCAACCATCCAAACTTCAAAATAGATTCCTGATTGGAAAATCAAATGGATTTCAAATCTGACAAACTTATTGTCAAATCAAGCGTATTGACAAGACCAAACCAAGAAACATAAGATCACTCAATTCTAACGTTGTTAAGGCACTTAAATACCCCAGAAAATATCTTCTGATCATGAGAATCTCTCAATGCTATCTCATGGAGTGTTCCATAATTCTTTCTTATTGAGGAGGCACTTGCAGGCTCTATAAATAGAATCTTGTCTTCTTTATGAAGGGAGATCGAAGGGGGACGGAGCTGAATTCTAATGTCATTTCAGATTGAAGACCAGGTGAATGCTTCCCTCTCCCATAGCAGCTGACATTAGTCAACCACAGCTTGCCGACCAAGCAACCACCATCGACCACTAATGACCGCCATGTTCGTTGCAATGAAGCCTCATGCAGAGGAAAAAAAATTGTCTGGATGATGCTAGTCCGGACGGTCAACCATCGGGAGATAGCTTGATATACAACTCATATGTGGATGAGGTGGCGCCCGACGATCCAAGCTAAAGCTTGGCGATTGGTTATTCAGATATGCGGTCGTCTGGAATCATTATTTTCTCGATGCAGAGTCATGATGTACATTACGGAGTAAGGGAGCACCGTGCACAATAACGACCAATGTCATGGTGTAACAATATACCTCGATAATGGTATAATAATAACACATTCCTAATATGGAGCAATAATGTGTCCCTCATACGGTGTAACGATGCATCCCAAAGATGGTATACCAACGCACCCAACATAAAGTCACTTTCTCAACAAATTATGTGACCAACTACAACTTATATGACCAATAGCTCATACATCTCCCAACTCCAGCCTCTGCGGCTTAAGAACAATATTACAACTCACCACTACGGTTTATGTGACCAATTACAACCTGCATGGCCCACAGTTCTCAACTTCAGCCTCTATATCGTGTAGATGTTATTAGAACTCACCTCTATGACTTATATGATCAATTAAGGCTTTCATGGTCCATAACTCAACAATTCTTAACTTTGATCACTACATCTTATAAATGTTATTACAATTCACCACTACAACCTATATGACAAACTACGACCAACATGGTCCATAACTCACACAATTCCCAACTCAGGCCTCTACGGCTGACACACTCCAAGTGTGGTAAATCACAGGCGGCTCACGCAAGTATAGATGACATATTAATAGTATACATAATGTTTCGTATGTCGATCCCATAGGGAGCGAGACAAATTCAAATAGAAAAAGTTCTAGCCTACAATCATTAGCCCTGTCCTGAAATGATGATATAGTGGATATCCTAATATGACCAGTTCTAAGTTATCTAGTTCTAAAGATCCTATGTTGTTAACAAAGAAATTTTAGGGGTTTTCAAGTAACTAAGATGTTTTCCCTTGGAATGGGTCAATAAGACTTTTCATGTGAAAGTATGATAAGAATGATGATGTTAAACGAGAGCATAACTTTTCCTTATACTCTTCTGGTGATCTAAGGAAGCTTGGCTAGAAATCAAATTTAGTTCCCTAAATCAAATTTCTATCCCAATCACTAAACGAAATGATATATCCCTATTTCATTAGATTAATGTGATTAACTTAGTCAATTTCATTACGATCTCATATGAGATTCATAATTCACGACGATTTTTAACAAAACATTTGGCAAAAATAAAAAGCAAAAGAAGTTCAGAAAGTTAATCATCATCAAATAATTTTACACACAAAATCTTCAGCAATATTCACACGCATCAATCTTATTTTCCATCCCAAGTTAAGGTAGAATGAGAGAGCTACTCACTACTTATGATTGAACACTTCAACATATTTATTTGATTTAAAGAAGAATTCAATTATAGAAGTCTTAATCAGTAGAATATTATAAAATCACATAGTAAAAACTTCAAAAAACTTGTGTCTCTTTCTTCACACATGAGATGATGAAAATACAAGCACAAGACTCAGAATTCTCTTAAATCTAACTTCTCTCCACTTAGTTGATCATCTTTGTTCTTCTCCTTAAAAGTTTGACTCTCTAAGATGTCAGAAAAGTTAGGGAAAAAACCCCTCATTTTTGTAACCATCATTTAAATTGGCTCCCCCCGCGAAACACTGCATCCAAACCACCCAAACTATCTGTTGTCATGTCCCGACGCCTAGGCTCCACTAGCTCGACGCCTGGGCGCTGCTGGTAAAGGTTCAGCCTAGGGCTTCCAGCGCCTAAGAGCCCAAATTGTAGCGCATAGTCGCTGGTTGATTGGCATCTAGGCGCCACTAGCCCAACACTCACTTTTCAGGCGCTCGAGAATTTGGACAATTTTAAGCACATGCCAGCGCCCAAGCGTTGCTGTCTGGCTTCTAGGCACTAACCTTCGGGTTTCTACTTTCCAGCTGCTTGAGAAATTTCACTTCTGTAGACAGAGTGTAGCACCTAAACACAATTAGGCCAGCGTCTAGGCACCAGACCAGGACCTTGCTTCGATTAGTTCGTTTTGAGCTCAGATCGATCCCCATTCATGCATCCTGCAAAACAACAACAAAATTACTTCCTCCAAGCGTAATATAAACAAATAAAATGGGAGAATCAATGCACAAAATATGTGTAATTGATACACATGTCAGTGACCTACAAACATTATTGTTGCACACCATTACGACCTATGTGACCAACTATGACCTACGTGGTCCACAATTCCCAAATTTGGTCTCTATGGCCTACATTATTGCAGCTCATCACTATGACTTACATGACCAACTATGGTCTACATGGCTCACAGCTCACACAACCCCCAACTCTATCCTCTACGACCTAAAAACGTTATTACAACTCATCAGTATGGTCACACACATCCCCCAATTCTGCTCTCTACTGCAGCCTACGGACGTTATTAAAACTCCTTATTATGACCTTCGTGATCAACAATATCTTATGTGGCTCACAACTCATGCAACTCCAAACTCCAGCTTCAACGGCCTTTAAGCATTATTACAACTCATCACTATGCCCCATGTGGCCAACTACAACCTATATAACTTACAACTCATGCAAATCTCAACTCCTACCTCTGTGTCCTACAAACGTTATGACAACTCCTCATTACGACCTATGCCGCCAACTACAGTATATGTGGCTCAGCTCCTACAACTCTCTACTACGACCTCTGTGGTCAATCGACATTCCTTAAGCAACCATCTACGACTTGCATGACCAATTATTACCACAAATTTCAACTACTGCCTTTATGGCTAGCTAGCCCCACCAGCTACCATCTACAACATTCAAGGTTGACCACGTTTAGCATAGCAATCGACTATGGCCTTATGGCCCATCATAACTATTATTACAAAGTTGTTATTTTACATCAACATTGTAATTCTTCTTTCTCCAATTCAAGAGGAGAGCGCGTCTATTTACTCACAATTATGTAGTGAAATATTCAGCTGTGTCAGACTCATGTTTTTTTCTCTTTTCAAGTTATTCACGTAAAAAATTGAGAAGTCTCCTTTTTTTATTTCTCTTTTATATGTGTGTGTATTAGATCTTTCTTCGAGACTATAATGCTAAATTATTTCTTTACAGCCACAAACCTTTTGGTACGCAACAAAATTTATTATAAACAAAGAAAATTAAAAGCTTAGAATCTCTCCAAGATCTTAACACATGCATGAGTTATTACTGCAAGCATGAATGGTTAGTTGTAGAATGATGAAGAGGAGTTTGTAAAATACTTTATAAGTGAGTATTATAAAATGTATTATATACACACATATTCATAAACACACACATATAAATATATATATATATGTAAGTGAGCATGGGCTGAAAGAACGAGCTAATCCTTAGAGACAATATCATATATATATATATATATATGACTAAATCAAGCCCTGATCAAGAAGTTAAACCATATTTGGAAGTTTTCCAGACACATTTGGAATGTCAAAATGACGCCAAATTCGGTGAGTTCATAGTTGAATTGAGCATCTCGATAAGAAAAATCTAATGAGCCTAAGATCACTCAATTTCGACATAATTAAGACACTCAAATGTTCAACAAACGCCGTCGAATCAGTTTCCGTCTGATCAAAGTTGTTCATATTCTTGTATTAATTACACTCAGAACTCTATAAATATAGCCCCACACCTCTCTTAAGGAAAAGAGAGAGAGAGCTTGAATCCCGAGGAAGAGCTTGAAGCTTGGAGAATGAGCTAAAGACCAACACCACTTCTCTACATGTCGCCGATCAACATTGGTCGCCACCCACTCCTTGCAACGAAGCACCATGTGAAGTGACAACTGACATCATGGAGTCATGAAACAACAACAAAGCGGCGCATCATGTCGAATACCGGAATGCCACCCCAAAGACGGTGCAACAATGCATCTCGAAGATGGTGTAACGAGACACCCTGCATATGCTCAAGCAGCTCCACACTCCGGCCACAGAGGCTTACAGATGTCATCACAACTCACCACTACAACCAATGTGACCAACAACGACTTATGCGGTCCCCAACTCCTACAACTCCCGAATCTGGGCCCCACATCTACGAACGTCACTGCTACTCACCACTACATCATATGTGACCAATTACGAACTATGTGGTCCATAATAGCTCATGCAGCTCCCGAATCTGGACCCATGTACCAACAACGAAATTTGTGGTCCTCAGCTTCTGAACTCTCAACTTTGGACCCTGCAGACTACAAACGTCACCACTACTCACCATTTTGGACTACGTGGTCCACAACTCCTGCAGCTCCCGACTTCAGTCCCTGCGGCCCACGAACGTCATTTCAATTGAGCCAAACCTCGTGGTTTTTCTTTTTTTCAAAAATTTTTTATGTAAAAATTTATAGTGTCTCTACTAGTTATTTTCTTTTATCTGAGTGTGTGTGATGAATCTTCCAGCAACACTAAGACGATAATTCATTACTCCACCGCCACAAACTTTCTAGCACGCATCAATATATATGTAGTTTCTATTAGAGGGAAGAAGCATGATAAATAGTTGAATGTACCAAAGGAAGCATTAAAGAAAAGGCAAAAGAAATAAAACCAAAGACTCCAGATATTGGTACAGAAGATGCAGCTGAGCTGATATTAGTACAGAAGATGCAGCTGAGCTGATAAAGATGGCCAACCAAATCCTAACTATTCGAGTTATTAATTTTAAACACGGAGGAAAATTCTCTTAGTGGCCCAATAAAAGTGGAAGAAACTATAACAAATGTTTGTTTAGAGTATGTGATTGGACCACCAAAGCAAAGTGGAATCTATTTTATTTTGTTTAAATTTCTTTTGAGGAATGGAGCTTTATTTTAAAGTGCAAGATGCAAATGCAATGAATTGTAACCCATGTGGTATATATAGTGGTCCCTCAACACTTTATACATTAAGACTAATGGACTATGTATGTATGGAAATATATATATATATATATATATGCTTGAATTTTGGGTTTTGACTGAACTGATTGGAGGACTAATCCACATGATTGGTCTCTTCATTCTCTCCATATGAAATTGTGAATGCATGGAGTGTGTGTATGTGGTCCTACTTAACTTTATAACCTTCAATTATACTCCCCACCGCCAACAATGAGTACACAAGTAACAGCATGTGCACCCACAACGCATGATGTTACACATCTTGGTCAACATTTCCATCAAGTCCTTCAGAATAAAAATATTTGCATCACTCAGATATGCAAAAGTGCAAAACTCGATCAAAGTGCCACAGAGAAAAATTGCCTAGATTGAAAGGATTGAAGGCAGAAGACAGAATAAGAAGATAAAAAAATTCGGCTGATTTCAAGTCTTACATCAATTTCACAAAACAAATTTCAGCTCTTATGCAAGCACTTTGAAAAACATGCAAATGCACCATATAATTATATTAATGTGCATGGAAGTGCATTGACAAATATGTAAATGCATTAATAGATACACAAGTGCATTACATAAATGCACCTCCAAATGCATAATTATCTAATATAAATACATTAAAAAAAATGCATATGAATGTATTGAATTATGCAAGCGCATTGAAAAATTTGCACACCTATCATACCACATCAACATATCAAATTTAATATTTCCGCATATGCTCTGACAAAATTATTAAATGTCAAGCTTAATATCACAGAAAGCTTTGCAGATCAAAATGAGAAAAACTCAAATTTGTCTTCAACCCAACAAAATCTATGTTACAGAATAATTTTTAAACTCATAATCTCAGTCTAATTAAAAAATTAGTCATTAGAGACTGAAATCAATGTATTATGCTCTGAATGAGAAGACAAAGATACACCACATACTTCATAACAGTAAACTCAATTACACTCAGGATTAGAAGACAAATACTATAGATTCTATAACTTTTATCATGTGAAACTTAAACTCGGTTGTATGCTACAGTTTTGCTGAACATTCCGCGAATGTACCAAATCTGGAGAACGCTGGCAAGCATGAGCGCAACATACTCCAGCACTGTATAAAAAATTAGGCGCCTTCTAGTGCTCTCGTTTGCTGCATTATGATACAAAGTAGAAAATAGGCATTGTTATTCTAAACATAATGAGAGCAAACCTAATAACTATATCCAATATTCCAATGTTAACTCCTTTGCATCCAAGAGAACCATGAAACAAACAAATTTGGGGCATTTACATTATTACATACATACCACCCAATTCCTATGTTTTTACATATCTAACACCTAAACTTTGGCTTTTACGTTTATACCATCTAAATCTTTAATTTTTAAAAACTGAAATACACCTTTCATGCATAGTTAAGATGGTTTGTATGTAAGAACTGAAGTTTTGGTGTGAGAGATATGTAAATAAAAAGTAATTGAATGTGTGATGTATACAAATCTTCCTAAAACTTTTCTGCTCTTTTCCACATTTCTCTCTTGCATCCTGGCTCTCTATAGGTATTTGAAACTCTTTTTAAGGCTCCATTTAATTATTGGTATATAATTGTATACGAAAAATATGTCAACACGAATTTCGAGTCAATACAGTAGTCAAGTCAAATGACGAACGAATGAAGGAATCTGCCCACGGTCGACAACTCCAGAGCAAGAAGAGCCCCTTGAAGCCAAGCTTAATAATCGAGCCACTAAAAAGCCTGACGACTGGCCTAAACTAACTGATCGAAAACAAAACATGACGACCGAGTAAAAACCGGCAAGGTGGATCGAGGGAAAACAATGGAGTGTGCACCCACTGATTGTCTAGGCCCACACCGATCGGATAAGCCCACTTGTCATTTAATATATCTGACACATGTAATGTACTAAAACCCCCCTCAGAGACTAATGCTTAGAGGATATACTTGTAATTCTAAAACCCATACCCCTATTTCTATAAATAGGGGTTCAATTTTTGAATAAAAATTACATGCTTTTATTGTTCGTTACTGTCTTTCTCTTTCTTTTCTCTTTCTCCACGACACTCTATTCCTTAGGTGTGTTTTCCTAATATTTTCGGATTCAAAATCCTTTTAGGTGCAATAAGCTTAAGACCATGCTATCAACAAGAAGAGGAGCACAACAACAACAGGAGGAAACCAACCAGAGAGATAGTGGAAGCAGGATGTACGAGGGAGATTGTAGAAGAATTCGTGCAACGAGGACTGCAGAACTTGAGAATGTGTTCAACGAGAAGCACAAAACCCTCCTCGAGAGGAAGTGCCGACACACAATGGGAGGAGACCGAGCCATGCCCGGAGAGAGCGGGAAATTTGTTGTACCAAGACAACACCAGATCCGCCCCGATGGTGGAAAGACACCAATTTGGGCGAGCTGAAATGTTGCAACAGTTAGAGAACGCATTCTCTCTTCAAATCTCGAGAGCTAAACCCTCAAAGAAATTTAAACTCTCAGCTTTGGAATCCTGTAAGGGATGATCAGATCCCAATGACCACTTGACCTCTTTTGAATCACCAATGTTCTGCTAAAGATCTCTGACGCATTCAAATGCCGACTTTTCTTCACTACGTTGAGGTCATTAGCTCTGAGATGGCTCAACTCACTACCGGTTAGGGTAATTGCCTGTTTTGCGGAATTCAAAAAGGCTTTTTCTGGCACAGTTCACCAGTGCCCAAAGGCCTAAGAAGAGTGTCCATTCCCTGTGTCAACTTAAGTAGGGACCAATGAGAGTTTGTGATCGTTCGTTGCACGATTTCAGAGAGAAATGTCAGAGGTAAAAGACTTGAAATTCGATAAGGCCCAGGCCGCTCTGACCTAAGGATTGAAGTCTGAGAGGTTCTGCTTCGACCTCAAACTCGCAGAACCCCAAGAGTTTAACCGAACTAATGGAGATGGCCAACAAGTACATCAACGGTTTGAGCACGTTCCAAAGCCCGAGCTCCCAAACCAGAGATTCCAGAAAAGGCCACCGCAGAGTATTGGGTAGAGACCGAAGAAGAACACACGACCACCCAGTCGCCCGTGTTACAAAAATCATCCCCACAACAACAATGTAGCCGACTATCACAGCGACCAAAGGGGTCAGACAAGGAGGCAAAACGAATGATTGATTCAGTATCATAAAAGACCAGCCCTACACCATGAACGACCACGATACGATCACAAAGGTCCCAAGGCCACTCCTCTGAGGGTATCAATGGCGAAAATAGTAAACGCCATCCAGGACAAGGAACTTTTTAGGAAAGCGCCACTATTGAAAGACGGAGCTTTCTTTGGAGACGCTAAGAAGTACTATAAGTACCACAAAGATCATGGTCATGATACAAATGAGTGTGGACACCTTCGAAATCTGATTAAAGAGTTAATCAAAGCGAGAAAGTTGAAGGAGTCCGTGGGTCCAGGAACTGCGACCTAGAGGCAAGGAAAAGCCCCAATTGTACAAGTACCAGATTGGCCAGTCCACACCTACGCCATTCATATAACTGGGGTAGCACCCGCCATATTTGGGGGAACTGAATCATCCCGACGAGCCAACCGAAAGGGGCAACATACTAGGAAACTTTGCGTCACTACTTTTGCCCCAAAGAATAAAAGCCATCCAACTATTTTCTTTACAAACAAGGATCTGCCCCCAAAAGAAAACCCGTACAATAATGCTATCATGGTGACGACCGTAATCAATAACTATCAAGTAGGGAGCAACCTGATTGACTCGGGGAGCTCAGTCAACGTGTTGTTCAAAACTATGTTTGACAAGCTGAGCCTATCAGTCGACCGGATGACCGTGTCAACTGGTCCGTTATATGGCTTTTCAGATTAAAGGAAAGAAATATTTGGAAAGATAGGAATTGCAGTCAACTAGAAAGAAAATGAAAAATAGTTCACATTAAGGGAGGGTTTGCTTGTGGTATATTCTCCCCCAACATACAACATCATCTTCGGCCACCTGCTTCTAAATAGCTTCAGAGCTGTAGTTTCTACCTATCAAGTTGTAGTGGAATTCTCGGGAGATGGAGAAATCATCACAGTTAGAAAAAACTTAAAACAATCTCGGGGTTGCTGCCTTCGAGCCATCAACAATGTGGAACATGACCCCATAGATATCCATAATTTAAAAAATCTCGAGACTAATGAGACCACCCTGGAGATACCTGCCATCGACAGAGAATCGGATAAATGTTTCCTAATTAGTGAAGCTTTTGATGGAGGATACAGAGAGTTGCTGGTCCAGACTCTCTGAGGGAACCAAGACATTTTTGTTTAGTTAGCAGTAGAAATGCCTGGTGTATCGATCGACGTGGCATGCTATCGGTTTAACATCAATCCATCAACCAAAACGGTGAAGCAAAAGATCATAACCTCGACATCAACACAAGCAGGACCCATCGGAGAGGAGGACAAAAGCTGAAAAATACAGACTATATTCATGAGTTGTAATACCCAAATGGATCTCCAATGTCGTGATGGCGCAAAAGACTAACAACAGAGCATGTGTGTTAATTTTACCAACCTGAATTCAACCCACCCGAAAGACGGAAACCCCATGCAGAGGATTGATGCCCTAGTAAATTCAACAATCGGCTACTAAGTCTTGAGCTTACTGGATGCATTCTCTAGATACCAACAGATTAACATGTACTCCTTTGACGGGAAAAAAACTTCTTTTAATACCAGTGAAGGAACTTATTTTTATAATGTTATACCCTTTGAGCTAAAAAATGCTAGGGCGACTTGTTAACGTCTTATGAATATAATTTTCATGAATCAAAGGAGAAAAATATTGAAGTGTATGTTAATGATATGTTAGTTAAGAGTCGATCGGCCACACAATATATATAAGATTTAAAAGAAACCTATCAAACACTTAAGAATTCAACATGAGGTTAAATCCATTAAAATGCATGACATTTAGAGCAGGCAAATTCCTTGGATATCTTACTGACCACTGAAGACATAAAACCCAACCCCCAGGAGTGCTAAAGAAATTCAAAAACTAACTGGTTAAATGTGCAGCTTTCTTCAAATTACCAAGGAAGGCAAAAAATTCCGAGTGGACCGACGAGTGTGAAAAAGCCTTCACAAGCCTTAAACGATCTCTCGCCTCTCCACCTCTAATTCAAAGTCCAAAACCGAAAGAAGAACATTCTCTATAACTAGGGGTGGAACCAGACGTAGTCAGTTCAGTCTCGGCCAGGGAATAACTAGAGAAACAATACCAAGTATACTACACCAACAGGGTCCTCAGAGATGCTGAATTCAGGTACCCGATAATGGAAAGGCTAATATTTTCTTTGATCATTTCAGTGTGTAGCCTCTGGCCATATTTTCAAATACACCCAAATCGAGTCATTACTGACCATCCATTAACATCTGTTCACTCGGTCGGAACATTCCGGTAGGTTACTCAAGTGGGCGGTAGAACTAAGTGTATTCAACATCTCCTACGTTCCTCAAGAGTCGATTAAGGTGCAGGCTATCCCAGACTTTGTGGCGCATTTCTCTGAACTAGTGGAAGCTGAGAAGTTGGCGACCGGCGGGTATACATGGACACTGTTCCCCGATGGAGCATCTAGCCAATCTAGAGTGAGACTCGAACTGTTCATATGCAGCCCAATTGGGAAAAAAAATTTACCACTCAGTCGACGTAAATTTCTAAGTAACTAATAACTAAGCAGAGTATGAAACTTTGATCGCAGGTCTCCGCTTGGCGACCAATGTGAGCTCTGCACATACTAGTGATGAAGAACTCGTAACTAGTCGTGAATCAAGTTAATGGAGAGTTATCGTCAAGGGATGAGGTTATCACAAAGTACCTCGAAAAAATGAAGGCTGGAATCGAGAGATTCGCCAACTTTAGAATCGAACACGTCAAAAAGATGAACCAGATCGTCGACCTCCTATCCAGAAGTCTTCGCCTAGGAGAAGGATCACCTAAAAAAATTGATCGGCCCACCATTAAAGAACAGCCAGTTATGGAGGTGACCATCGAAGAAAAGAAGAGCTGGATAGATCCCTACATTCGTTACTTAAAAACAAGGAAAGTTGACGAAGAAGTTACAGATCCAAGGAAATTCAATTTAAGGTTGCTCAA